TTTTTTCTTCATAATTTTATTTTCACTACATATGTTGTATCACGAGCTTTTAGGATCAGACTAAATAGAATTCGGGTTGTCGTGCTCTTAACACGTAATTATGCACCACCAAAAGTTGACAAATTTTAATTTTTAGGTAGGATTTGACGTGTATTTAGTATTTATTGGTTGGATCATTTGATGGGGCAATATGGACGGACGCGTGCTTGACTCAAGAAAATTGACTTATTGGCTATTGAGTTATATTGACCTCCGAGCTTTGATGTGGAACAAGGGCCCCACATAACTCTGGTCCACCAAGAACGCCGGATGCCTTGTATCCACTTTGAAAATCCAATGGGTTTGGCACATCATTATGATCGAACTCATAAGGTTGGTTAAATTAGTTACCACTTAAAGGTTAATAATTAGTTTTAAATACTCAGCTATCATTTATTGACAAAGGATTTGTCCCCAACCCCGTGAACCCATTGATAGAGAAGATGAGCTGATGAGGTGGGTTTAGGTGGCGAGAACCTACGACCTAGCAATCATTGCACCATTTCTGCCGCCTAATCCACCAATCACAAGCAAATGATTTGACAAATGTCATACGGATCGAGGTCAATTATCGTAGATGAAATCACCATGTTATTTGGCGATACGTTACTTCATTCTGTAGAAGGGGATCATTCTACATTTGCAAAAGACTAAACTTTTTTTCCCGTATATATCACTTATATTGTATATCACTGTCCTCTTGATTCAAATTCGTAAACCTATGATACCTAGATTCGAACACATGCAACACTTTGTGAGGAACAAAAATGATCTGCATTTGATTTTTATTTGTATCTAATTCTTTTAATTCAATCATTTATAGCTGATCATCATGAACTCACTTAAATGCAATGGATTCTACATTTCTCTTGCAACTGCAAAAGGAATAAGAATTATGAAAATTTCAGACCCTTAGCTATCACACGTATTTATTTTTCCATTTTTAATTGAGCTAAGGTGAAAGGTCATTGTACTAGGATAAATTCGAATTCTGACAAAATATTTAATCTTTTCCCCATTTTAAACCAGGCATATATACAAGAATTCAAACAAAATATTCAGAGTGTGTTTGTGACACATTTTTTTGAAACAATGTATTATTGAATAGTAAATTGATGGAGAATGTATGGTTAAAAATGAAAGAAAGGTTATTGATGTAATGGAAAATATTATTTTATTGAAAAATGTGTGGTTGAAAATAAGTAGAAGAATGAGAATGAAAAAAATAATGTGTACCAAACATGGCCTTAATTTTTTATAATTCAATATGAGAATAAATTAACTACTAAACAAAGTCCAAAGCCATCTGCATTTTTAGCATAACAACGAATATTTATTTATATATTAAAGGTGAAAGTACTTTCAAAAAATCATTTTTTTTCAAAAATTAAATTATTTGCTTTTAAGTAAATCTTTTGAACCTAGCCAAACATGCCTGTCTATGGACATCAATAAATCGGATTCATCGGTCTTTGAGCATTATGTTTCAATCACAGGCCAGAATTGGTTTACTGTTGAAGACTAAAGCGCCTTGTGTACAGCATACCTAGTAAAATCTCTTTTTGTTCGTATTTATATGGATTCAAATGAACGAACAAATCTTCGAATCCGGGCCATCTAATTGGAGAAGGAAAATGAAAACTATTTTTGGATTCGGGAACACGAATAAGGTTTCATAGCTTGATGCAAAGCATTACTTGAACACGAGAACAAGCATATCTTGTAACAAATAGTGTTTGAGGTGGATCAATTAATTTGGACTTTGCTGTCGATGACAAAGGGCTTGCTTATGCAAATATTTTAGTTACTGCGATTTTGCTATTAACTGCATTTTTTTAGAGAATTAGTTGTGTCGCCCTACATGAGTTCTAGATCCGATAGAAGACGCTAATTATAAAGGCACATGGAGTTCGAGATTACGTAAAAATATCATTAAAAAATTCACGTTCTTATAGAGTGCTTTTGAATATGTTTGTGGAAGTTATTGTTTTTATTATATTATTATATGTAATAAATCGAACAAGTTATGATACATCTTGAAAAATCGAAACCAGCCCATTATGTATATGATTTAACATGCCAACTACTAAACAACTCTCTTNTTTGCTGCAATTATCCCTAAATTCAATGGATTCTACATTTCTCTTGCAACTGCAAAAGGAATAAGAATTAGGAAAATTTCATACCCTTAGCTATCACACGTATTTATTTTTCCATTTTTAATTGAGCTAAGGTGAAAGGTCATTGTACTAGGATAAATTCGAATTCTGACAAAATATTTAATCTTTTCCCCATTTTAAACCAGGCATATATACAAGAATTCTAACAAAATATTTATTTTTTTATAATTCAATATGAGAATAAATTAACTACTAAACAAAGTCCAAAGCCATCTGCAATTTTAGCATAACAACGAATATTTATTCATATATTAAAGGAGAAAGTACTTTCAGAAATCATTTTTTTCAAAAATTAAATTATTTGCTTTTAAGTAAATCTTTTGAACCTAGCCAAACATGCCTGTCTATGGACATCAATAAATCGGATTCATCGGTCTTTGAGCATTATGTTTCAATCACAGGCCAGAATTGGTTTACTGTTGAAGACTGAAGCGCTTTGTGCACAGCATACCTAGTAAAATCTCTTTTTGTTCGTATTTATATGGATAAGTGACCAAAATGAATTATTTTTATTTTCTTTTCTAAGATTGAAATGAACGAACAAATCTTCGAATCCGGGCCATCTAATTGGAGAAGGAAAATAAAAACTATTTTTGAATTCGGGAACACGAATAAGGTTTCATAGCTTGATGCAAAGCATTACTTGAACACGAGAATAAGCATATCTTGTAACAAATAGTGTTTGAGGTGGATCGATTAATTTGGACTTTGCTGTCGATGACAAAGGGCTTGCTTATGCACATATTTTAGTTACTGCGATTCTGCTATTAACTGCATTTTTTTAGAGAATTAGTTGTGTCGCCCTACATGAGTTCTAGATCCGATAGAAGACGCTAATTATAAAGGCACATGGAGTTTGAGATTACGTAAAAATATCATTAAAAAATTCACGTTCTTATAGAGTGCTTTTGAATAAGGTTGGGCAAAATGTCCGAACCAAATCGAATCGAACCGAATCGAGAGGGTTTTTTAAAATAAAATACCTGAACGGGTATTCGAATCGAGAATCGAATGGTTTGGTTCGATTCTCGGTCCTCGACCAAGAATCGAAAAATCAAATAAGAACCGATTTTTTTTTTATATTGGATAAATCAAATTTTTTTATTTTTTCTAAACAAATTAATAATTTTTTTCTTATTAAATCTTATTAGTTGAACAATTTAGAGTTTATTTATGTTTGTTAGTTGTGTTTTTTTCAATTTTTTCTTGTATA